AATCTTTCCTCCTTTTCTAACCTCTGCCACTTTTTTCTCGGTTTCTGGGGCTTCTCTGAACCGACTTATGACAGGTTTGCATAAACGCTGCCCACTTAAGGACACGCTCCGCCTACTCAGGGAGGGCTTCCATTAATTTTCAGGTATGTTTAAGGCACCTCTAGATCATTTCCTCGCAAACCGATTTTACTACGGCTCAATAGCCCTTCTCATACCAGAGTTATGAGCTTCTCTTTTTGAGAAACACTACTTCAGAGAACGCTCCGCCCACAACGGGCGGGTCTCCCAGATTCGACTTTTCAACTCAGTGCACACCTTTACCCATTTTTTCCGGTCTTTTGGCTGCACCTATACCCAAACTCGAGACTTCTGCCGTCGGCAGCTCCTAATTCGACGCATGCCCCGCCCACTGTGGGCGGAGTTTCCCATGGTCCATGTCTGCCCCGTGTAGCCTGACTCATTCTCTACCCATCCCAAACTTGACCTGGACTCTGAGGTGGTTCCTTAGATAGTACCTAATTTTTTCGAACAGACACACAAAGGCTTAGCGCTATCCCCTCTATATATAAAGCAGAAGTTTGGTGTGTTTGTCGTCTGTCACCGCTAGGGGGGGTTATAACGCGGTTGAAGCGGGAAATTCTCTACTTCCCTCATTCTGCCCTTCACCCCAAATACATAAGAACAACTCCGTTTCCCTACCAACCTCCTCAAATACGGCCCCTCCCGAATAACTCAAATACCACTCCCTCAATTGAGAACAGCGCAACGCACTTTAACCCTGCCACGACAGTCCATCCTCTTCAGCCGTGTCTCGCGCGCGGTATCGTGCGCAGCTAAACTGGTTATGATGAAATCGGGAAAAGCACAAAAACTATAAAATAGCTATCCACAGTGAGCTTAGCAGTTCACTGCGATCCAATGAAGAAGAATGCTAAGAGGTGTTCATCAGCACAATAGGCTCCAATGCCTCTAGCCAAAAGAAAAACCAACGTGGGTTTCAATACCGTGACGAGTTTAAGGGATAGTATGTGTATATGAGTCTCTACTCCGTCCTGTAATCTTTCATTTTTGGCACCAAAAAGCTTGAGAGTAGAAAGTAGAGCGAGCTGTTTCGGTAACCGATAGCGCACACCTCCTCCTTGCTAAACACAGCCTTGGTACTACAGGATGTTACTTCTCTATTGACATCAAAAATTCCAATCCAAAACGTGTGCATGAGGAGGTATCATTACTTCGCGCAGTTGGCTCGACCATAAAAGTAACATAAACAACTACCTTTCACTTGATTCTTCAATAGTTGAAAGGCACTGAAGAGCATTCGCCAAACTGTTGGTGATGGATTTCTTACCGCTGGCCTGCAATCGCATTTCACACGATAAAATACTCAGAAAGAAGCGAGGAAATTTTGCAAAGTAAAACTAACTTCCTTTGGATAACACTTCTGACAATGTCTATACAGGATTCTCCGAAATGACTTCCCAAAGTATATCGATGTCTGCTAAACAATCCGTTGCATGGTTTATATCGCTGACAAAGGACGAGATCTGAAACAAACGCAGCTTGAGTGTATTCAAAGCCGAAATCGCTTTTAGAAACATAATTGTAGGAAATGCCGCCTTTTTGAGGGCGCACTCCGCCCATTGTAGGCGGAGCCTCCGCTCACTTCATATCATATGCTGGAGAACACCTTAGACATTGCTCCCCTACACTAATTTTTTTCTGCTCTGTAGGCTTCTCCTAACCGAGTTATGAATTTTTCATGAGCACCGCTTTTCTAGAGAACGCCCCGCCCACCGAAAGTGGGTCTCCCTGATTCGATCTGGCTTATTGCACACCATTACGCGTAATTTCCTCGGCTGTTTTGGAACCCAGTTGAAAGTTTTGTCGACAGTCAATGTCCGTCACGTTCACTGTGAGCGGAGGTCTAGTTAGCTGAGGTATGTTTTGTACTTCTTGAGACATGCCCACCCACCCCAACACTTGACCAGGTCTCCAGGAAGTGGGAAATTTCGTGACCACACTGTGACAGACAGACGAAGCGGATATAGTTAGAAGGATCAGATAGGATTCCGAACACATAACCATTATGCCCAGAGGAAATTTTAGTTTCATCATTACATATTGGAGAGTAAGTCGCAATAGTGACTTCACAACTTGGAGCGCATAGAAATAAGCAAAGAAGAAACCTTCTCACAGACTGCTGAAAGGCGAAAAGAGGCGAAGTATGACACAACCATCCATTCATTTTTGTCGATGTTTTTCGAAATATTGCAAAATGTAGTGTGAATGCTGAGGTTACCTTAGACTACCTTTAGACTTTGCACACCTTTAACGTACATTTTGGGAGTAAAGCGCTTCGACTTGATCACAGTGCACGGTGCAGCGCCGCGCACTGCAAAGCAGGCCAATCACCAATTCACGCCACGTACTCACCGTCTTCGTCACACAAAGTGACGGTCCAGTTTTCCGAAATTTGGTGCAATGAACCTCCTGTATAGGCCGTCATGGAGAGAGAGAGCTCTCTCAAGGTCACAAATTTTAACCCTCGCAAAGCTGCTTCAAAATCCTGGAGTGAAAAAATGACAATTACTTGAGTGCCTATAAAAACGTAACCCAAAAAAAAAACTGAAGAATTGCTCGAAGGCTGAAGGCAATCATTTTGAAAAAACTATTTTCGATTGTCTCTTTCCCATGAATTCATAGTGAGAAGTGACTTCCGAACGTTGTTTTCGAAATGCCACCAAAAGAAAGGTGCACCAGAATTTTGCAGGACTACTCTACGATTTTACACGTTGACAACATTGCGAGTTTTGGCTTTTTGGCCGCATGGGATTGGCGCGATTTTGCAGCCGCCGGTCCCATGCGGGCGTACTTACTTTCGCTTTAGTGGTTTCGAAATTGTTTCGGACGTGGTTGTTTCACTAAAAACACATATCTTGCCATGCGACTAGGTTTGTATTCTCCTCTGTTTATTTATTTATACGCTTACGTTAAAGAAAGAAAAACGAGGAGTGAATTGAAGAAAGAATGTTAGGCCATTCTGTGAGCCACGTAGTTTTTCTTCATGTTGATGTATGGCTATAGAACAAACAAAAAACTTGGGAAGAAGTCGGGCATGTGCGGAAAAGTAAATTTAATGGGTTGGCTTACATAGCTGCCACAACGTAGGACGCGGTGTTCAAACCGTTATGGTTTGGTGCATGGTCCAAGCTATAACAGCTCTAAGATGCCGAAATAACAAATGAAATGCAATGAAAAAGCAAAAAGTGGGAAACAATCACGCAAGCGTAGCATACAGCGACTAACAGTTGGCAGGTTCTTCAGAGCTTGTCAAAGCACATTTCCTCCTTGGAGCCTTCGTCAGCGCTCTGGAGGTCAGGTTTAATGTCAAAGATTGATAAGATTGATATTAAAATTGATTTTACAGGATCTCGAAGGCGATTAGGCGGAAATTACAGCCTAACGAAGTGATTATTCCATCTTGGTCGCCACTGAACAAGCGTTCAACTAACGCCAAAACACACTATGGTAAAAATGACCAGAAAAAGAACATGGATTCAAATTCAAACGTACATTATCCGTTCTTATATATTCCAAGATAAGGAATTCGAGGAGAGCTTCCAGTTGCTTGCGGCTGCAGTAGGTAGCGTATGATGAGAGGAAAGTCAAGAAGAGATCAGCTGCCTGAAATGAAACAGTTTCAGTCGACAATAACTGTTTTTCTACGAGCTAACATGCCATGTCACACGAGAAGCTTACCAAAAAAAAGAGAGAAATTTCAAACCTGTGAACGTAAACACAACTCCTTAACTTCGTTCGATGGAAGCTCAAGCAAGGACGACAACTCAATCATCATTTCAGCGCATCCAGTACGCCCAGGGTCCAATAAAACGGTAAGAGCTGACATATATGGACATTTCATCATTTCCTAGAGGAGAACACAAATATAGCAGATAATTCATTGGATTCAATAATGGTTCCCTACAAAGGCGTAGAGAAAACTATGAAAACAAAGGTGCACCTCTGAATAAGTTTTTTCAAGCCACAACTTGGACAGATTTTCTTCATCGTGATACCTCTTGGCCACCATCAATAGCTGCACGAACAATTTCGCAATCCTGCATGCCTCGACTAGAATATATGTAATACGCTATTGTACCAAATATTCGATACAAAAGAACAAATCAAATTTCCAACCTCGCTTTTTATTTTTCCACAACAGTTTGATGGTGTCTGGTAAATGACTACATATCTCATGACGCAGTTTGTCATGCCGTAACACATGAGCGAAAGTTATGAGTTTCTCCACGAGAAAGGCGAAATTGCTAGAAGAAGTGACTTAAAGGGACAAGGACTATTTAATTTGATGCAAATCAGTAAAATGAACCGCACAAAAAACTCACCTAGCGTATTCATTGGCAATGTTACTGAGAATCAAATCATGGAATTCATGAAAGCGTTCTATGGCCGTACCAACACCAATAGATGCAAAATATTGGTATACGACATGCAATACTGGCGAGGTTGGTGAGAATTGGAATACCTGAATGGTAAAGAGGAAGGTTTATGACGCCACAGCAACGAACAAGAAGCCATATGAACCAACACTTACAATGCAACTCTTCAATATATCTACCAACGCATCGACTATCTCTTTCTCTAATCCGACAAGCTTTACAAGCAAAGTCTTGCAAGAAGCATCGTCACCTGAAATGACGCTCTTAAGGAAGCCTTGTAGAAGCGTGGAATAATATTATTCTTGATACTCGTAAAAAATCGGGCTTACATAAACCACACGTTTTTTTCAACGACAAAGGAATGAATAGGGGGAGATTGCGACTTTCTTCGTTCGATGGGGACTAAAAACTTCTAGTTTTATAGGAACATAAACGCCTTTTCAGAGTAACTACTAGTGAGAAATTAGGTCGCTTGAAAACAGATTTTAACACGTTGACGACAGCGCGTGTGTGGGCGTTTGTGCACCGCGTGGGACCGGAGGGTTCGCCTCAGAGCGATTTTGCAGGCGCCGCCGCTTCACATAAAATCCGTAAATTCTGAGCTTTAACTTATGCAAAACCCGGATGCAACAAAATGTTTCGAATGATATTTGATGTATCAAACTTCTCAGAAGGAACAACTGTAAAAGTTCAATCGAATGGACGTTTTCTGGCAATGAAAAGGCAATTTTCGGTAGCTCTTGCTGTAATGGACCTCAAAATTATTTTTGACTCGGATGCTTCACTAAAAACTTGTATCTTGCTATATGTGTAGGTCTATACTTGCTTTTACTACTCTTTTTTATGACCGAGGTTGTCAGAATTTAAAGAAAACTAGGAATGAACACAATTGGGGAATTCGTAGCACTTGGAAAAACCTTTGCTAAAAAGGAGCATATTCAACCATTCGATGAACCTTGCCGTGTCTAGCCATGTTATGGTGTGGTCTATAGAATAGATGCAAGAAGTTAGAAAAGAAGAAGCGCATGCGCGAAAAAATTCAATAATTTGTGTGTGCAGCGCATGCGCTGCACACGGTCCCACACGGTGCTCAAGCTGTGATGCGCATGCGCTGCACAATGTCGTCAACGTGTTAAGGATTCCTATATGTTCCCGTGCCAGCCCGCCCCCAACCGATCGCGAGGTCACATTCGGAGGTAAAATGACTGGTGTGAAAGTTATTACGCCAATGAAGGACGCGCCGAGAATGTGTGTCCTTGGCCTGTTGATATGCACAAAAAAGCAAAAACAAAAAACTTCGGCGAGATAGTACAGACAGAGGCTACTAAGGTGGATCTTCAGAAGTCCCGCGATCCTTTGCCGTATTTGCGGAACGCATCGTGATTTAAGTTAACTGCCTTCTGACTAGTAAGGGGACGCCATATCTTTACGGAGGTCCCACTTGCCTTCTGCTACAGTGAAACCCTTCTCTCAATGTCAATTCAGTTGTTCAATGTGGAGCGGGATCCCGAGTAGCACACGGGCAGTACCAACTTTGCGTGGCGCCAGTCTAGGGGGGGGGGGTGAGGGCAGACACTTGACATGCGTGAGAAGCTGGAATGTTCGAATTCAACCGCGATCACATGGGATCCCCGCGGGTTAAGGCAGTGGGTCCCGCAACGAATGGCGCCCTATACTAGTCAGTAGGAGTACAAAATGATCACTCCATTTTGTGGTTCGTATGCGGGCCCGAGGTGTCACTGGACTAATTACAGCTGCCCCCATGCCATACTGCAAGGTGTTTTCCAATCCCGCCGTCACTTCTGCTTGATGGTTATGGTTTAATGGAGACTGCTCATGATTCCACTTGTTTCATATCCAGTGTTTCAATTGTTCAAATGGGGCACTTGCAATTTTTGTGATTGGTTTGGTTTGATTCCTGAAAAAAAAATAGGAACGATTCAAGAGCATTTCAATGAACTAATAGACATTGAACATGAAACAAGTAGAACCACAAACATTTTTCGTTCGGTTTCTACTGCCAAGCAGAATTGTCCGATAAGGGTATAGATATAAAACAACAAACTCCCCGCGTTTCAGTATATCCTGGCCACTCTCCAAACTTCCTTCACTGACCATCTCAGGTATTTCAAAGCGATAAATCGGCAAAATAACCTCGGCGCAAAATCGGCGAAAATCGCCGGCAAAGAGACGCGAACTCTCTGACATCAGGCTTAGTGGGAGCCCTGAAAATCCTTGAATTCGCATACAACACAAATTTCTAAACCCTTCATGGGAGCTGAACTGCTTCCATTTCCCTCAGTGGAATCGCAACAATGACTTCTACGTTGCGCAAGGTGGATGCCAGACTCGACGATTGTGCAATCGAGACAGCGTTGTGGCAGTTTGCTTCGCCGTGGCCGAGTGTTGCGTGTCGTTATCAACCCGTATGGGTATGAGGGGCGCGCCGCTGTCGCGATTGTACAATCGACCGAGTGGCCGATGTCAGACTTTGCGTATTGGAGCAATTTTGCACCAATTGCAGGAGCGACGGATCGCTTGAGCGATGCGAGCGACGGGAGATTTACCCCAGCGAATACCGATACACACGGTGCAGCTCGCATCGCTTGAGCGGTCCGTCGCCCCTGAAATTGCTGCAAAATCGATCCAATCGCAAAGTCTGACATCGGCCAGTCTGACGTCCTAAACACGCAGCCAGCATAAATAGATTGAACATGCATCGAAATGCTACGATTTTGGATTGGATGGAGACGAGTGGTACACAAAAAAGGTCCATTCAAATGAGAAAAAGGTGGCGATAAAATTTAGTCTATTATGAAAAGGTTAGTGGAGAAGGCAGAGTCATATATGAACGATAGGTGGCCGCTTTTGCTGGCAGAGAGCGCTCATTTGACCAGTTGGGTTAATGTGCCACACACGGTGAAACAGTCGCTACTTCGACAAGCCCACGATGGCACACATGGAAGGAATCATAACAGCTATAAACTGACTAAACCGTTACCATCGTCGCTCGATTTTGTTTCCCAATTTTACCGTTACAAAGCCTGTCGAGCCAGTAGTTGCCTATAGATAGTCGTTGGCGATGTCCCTGTCTACCCTCAGGCAACCACACAAACGACTTCTACGTCACCAATGAATTTGCAGAGTCACTTTTCGATCAAGCGGACTGAAAGTGTTCCGCTTCTCGAGTTTCTCAACCATCTTTTTTTTTCACCGAGTCCACCACGGTGAGCTCTACTTTCATATATTTAGAGGGGATCAAAACCTATAGGCTAGAGGGCCTCGAAGACCACCACAATCATCAGGTCATAGAGGAGAGACCAGTCAACGGATGCCATCCGCAGCTGGCCTCCACCCTTTGCAGCCGCATTAGTGGAGGCTGTGCACTGTACACTTGTAGCCGAAAGAGTTCATTCATATCCGAATTTCACCAGTGTCAGTCATGAGTTGTTCATGACACATCGCACTCCAACTAGCCCACATTCCCTACCGTGTAAGGGCTCCACGATCATTGCTTATGTTAACTGATGTGACAAAATATGTGCTGAGACCTCGGTGCAGGACGTCGGCGATCGGCCCGTCGCTGTACACCAGCGACGGAGTAGCCGGCGACGGCCACCAAAAGAAGTTGTGAAATACAACTATCATGGATTTTCCCACTCGATCAAAGAACCAATCAAGTTTCGAGCTAGTTACTTCAAGATACCTTTGAAGTTATTACAATGACAGGGAGGACCACTATCCTGATTAAGAATTTGAAAAAAAAACCGAGCAGAACAACATGAACGATGGGTGAGGATGATTAATCTCCCCCTGCCAACCGATATCGATCGTGTGCTGAGTCATCGCCCGTTGCTGCCACTCTTGTGCCGGGCAACTCCGTCACCAGCGACGCAATCGCCGAGTCTGACCGAGGTCTGAGGGGCCGCCAACATGCCGAGCGTCGAGACGTCAACGTCCCCCAGCTAGGGTAGCACCGTCTTGTTTGTTATTTGTTATTTCCTTCCAAATATTTCAGCGGATATTTTAGTTTGACACGCTTTGCTTTGCTATTCGCCTAGAAACTTTGAAATACATTTCAGGATTTGATTTTTATTTCCTGATTTTTTATAGTTAGCGACAAGTGCCCCTTCCTTATTCTGGTGCATATCTATTTACTGACGGAAACCTGATTAGCTAATGGCGAATGTACAACCTATTTCTGGAAAACTTGAAATGTAGTTCATTTGTTAGCTCTTCAGGAAGCACAGTGCTCGCGGCCAGCATTGGTATTCCTGGCACATAAGGTCTGTTTATTCCTTGCTCTTCCTCAGAGGAGCATTTTAAACGGATGGTGAGCGTATCTGCGGGGGCGTTGTTGTTGTTTGTTTTATGTTGCTTAGCTTTTCTACTAGTTCCATATCATTGTTTTACAGAGTCCGGTCGAGTTAGACTCCTTAGTTTACCATGTGGTTCAATGTCTATTTTTCCCTTTTGATGTTTATTTTATATTCACTTGATTCGGCAGTTAATGGTGCACCTATGTGAAACAAATAAATAAATTAGTACTCAGTATCAAAACACTCACTTAGCAGAGCTTGTCTGACAGTTTTCTGGAGGAGTTTACTTTCTTCTTCAGAGCAGAATTTCACCTTCTTCGATGGAGGAGGAACCATTAAACAAGCACTACGTCTCCTAGCGTCTTCGCCTGTTCTTCTCTCTTCTGGTCCAAACCTAAATGAAGCAGTTCAGATTGCCGCGCAATTAACAATTAACATTTCAAGGGCAATTTTAATTTACACCTCACAAGTACGCCATGTGCAATTACTGCTTAAATGTGACACCGCGCTACGAAGAAGGAAGGATTCGATGAACACCATGCAAAGAGATTTTCAGTCTACAGGCTACACAAATGCTTGAAACCTCTGGTGTCTTGCATTGTGAATTAAATGCCAGAGGGAAAGGATTAGATGCTCGACACCGACATCTAGGGTTGCAATAATTGAATATCTAAATCGGTCCCTTAGCATATGACATGAGGAAAGCTAGTGAACAAGAAAGCGTGTCGTTGGAAAGTATAACATGTGATCCGCCATCCCACACAAGAAGTGTTCCCACAGGTTTGCTCCTGCCGCGCTTTCAACGAAACAACTAGTAATTGAACAGCTCACTCAGCAAATAAAAAGCGCCAGTGTTTTGCCGGTAGAAAGGAACAGAGGCATTAATAAATCTAAGGTGTGCCTACGGTAGCCGCTAGTTGTACGCAATCACACGTACTGCCCAAACATAGCAACTACAGTAGGAAATTTTTTGGCTAAAATAATTTTCGGAAACATTTATTGGACATCGTTTGTGTTACCGTTTTAAGTTTCGTGATAACCTTATTTTCTCGAAAACTCGAACACGCCAGTGAAGAAGTGTCGATATGTTTAGTGACTGCATGGGGACGTCATCACGACATTCGAAGAAACGGCGTGGAGACGATGAGGACTCCGACGGCGGCCGGCGAAATAGAGAACGAAATCATTCCAGTTCCAGGTCGAGGTCCCCTTCGCCAAAGCCTAAGAAGTAGGTTTGTCTGACATCTTAAGGAGTGCCGAAGGAAGTAGTAGGGTCAGTTGTCAGATAGGACAAAAATGAAGAGAGCTGCACGTCCTCTGCGGATGCTGATGAGACGGTGTTCTCATCAGCATTCGCAGAGGACGTGCAGGAGTTGCAGGTTGGGGGGGGGGGGGGTTGGGGAGATTAACTCGTTTGTTTGAGTGATGCTGTAATTGCTGTGCTTTCTTGATATGATTTTCGGAATCTCGATATTCCCTTGACCTTGATTTCAACTTTACAGATCACGTAGACGTGAAAAAGAAAAGGAATCCAGTCCGCCACCGAAGGATGACGTGTACGTGACAATTTTGCGCATGTTTTTTTTTCAAGAAGTGGTTTATTTGTTTTAGTGCGGAGTCGCTTTCCATCGAAGAGACAAACAAGCTCCGTGCGAAATTAGGATTGGCTCCGCTTGAAATGAATGACGGGCCCAAGGTACCGCTTTTATCACACATTTTACTGTTTAGGTGGTTAATGTATCGTTGATGGGTGCCTTACACAAGCACTTCAGCATCTTTGTAAGTGTTGCCTTCTAAATCGTGTTCCTCAACGTGGTGGCTACTCCACATTCTTCTAGCAACCAAATGTGCATGCTGCATTTTCGAAATTAGTACCGCTTTTTTCGTACATTTGCTTGAGGAAAAACCTCTTCTTTGTCACAAGCAGAGTCTCTGGGAAAAGGAGGCAAACAAAAATAGGCTGTAACAATATATAGCATAGACGCCTATTGTTTTGTCAAGATAATGGAACGGTTGATCTGGCTTTACTCATCGCATGTGCTTTACCTGTTGTGTTTGATTGTAGCCACGAGAATCTGAAGATGGTACAACAGTTCATGTGGAAGATGGCTTCGAATTTCGGCATAAGAAGCCAGAAAATTGGAGCGATAAGAAAAGGGAGCAAGAGATGAAGGAAAAGCTTGAGGTCACTACTTCTCTTTGTTTTTTTTTCAGAGTGAATTTTCTGTTGCTCATGAGCTCTGTTGAATTTGAAAGCATTCAGATCGCGAAGAAGAAGCGTCAGGTTTACGAGCGGGTGTTGGTTGCCAAGAGTATAGCGGAATCCGATTCTGATGACGATGCAGCTGATTGGGTAGCTAAAATGAGGAAACAAGAAGAAGAAAAGAAGCGTGCTGAAGAAAGAGTGGGTACCTTTCTATTATTGTTATCCTGAAAACTTATCTATTTTACAGGCTAAAATGCTTGACGCTATGGATGAAGAATTTGGCGTAAACAGCATCATAGCTGAGGAGAAAGCAAAGCAGGCTAAGAAGAAGGCAAGGCAGCAAGCTAAGGTCCCTAATTCTTGATTGTATTTGTATTCTCCCTTGAAAGTGGTTAGTTCTTAAATATTACTCTATCTTAAGGGAGAAGCAAAGAATTCATACACTGGTGGTCTGGTGGTTGGGCACTCAAAAGAGGCGTTCATTGGAGTCTCAGATCAAATTCTCGTGCTCGACGACAAAAGTATGCTTTTCAGAGATCTGATAATATTTGCTTCACTTTCCCTACTGGCAACATTTTGTTTCTCCTAAGTTATCAGCAGAATTTAGTACATTTTGATTATTTCAGGTGTTCTTGACGACGGCGAGGAAGTTCTTGTCAATCCTAACTTGATAGAAAATGAAAGGTATGCTCGGAATAGAGAGCTCAAAAGGCGTAAAGAGCTACAGAAAGGTTTTGACGATGTGGACGAATTCGGCAATGTAAGTGTGACTATTTTCTGATTTTCTCTAAGCATTTCTATTATATCACTCATGCTCACCAAAATTTAAAACCTTTACTGCTATGCATTTAAGAAGGATGAAATTTGCTCCCGCTCCCCTCCCCCCCCCTAAATTCTCCGCTTCACCTTTCTTAGACGCAGTTGCAGTTTACTCGGGCCGATCATCTGATCGCACAACCGACTTTGGGTTTGATACGCGTTTATAATGCCACCGCAACGATCGCACAATTGGAACTGTGGCTTCAGAATCTTCTCATGAGACTGGTATTGGTTTCTCGTCCTAAAATCCCTATATCACATTGTGTGGATGACCAGAAAGAGTTGACTACGGGGATTCCCACCCCTTGAATAAATCCATTTCTTGAACATCTTTTTCATTTCCGTGTTGGAAACACCGATGACTGTCCTTGTATTCTTGGTTCGTGTAACCGTTGAAGGATAGCAGATAAAGCGTCGGACGCTTAGCCGTCCTTTCGGGATACGCCGCTTATTTAGTTACCATAGAATCATAGCGGTATTCAAACATGCTTTGGTCCACACGGTGCCAGGACGGCTGATGTACAAGTCAGTATTCCCTCGTGCAGAGGGATATATACTGATTCCCGTAGACAAGTTTGGTGCTGACTTCGAAGTGATGCTGATTAGTGCGACATTACCTCGTAGTAAGTGGATTGTCTCACTGCTTGCTTCCACCTTCGGTGAGGCGCTCACTGTATGTATATTGTTTGGGATCTATACCCTGTTCCCATCTAAGTTTCTTCTCAGGGCTCTCTTCTACCAAGCGAATGCGCATCTCTCTCGTTGCCCAGTTTTCAATATCACAAAATATGTAGCTGCGCGATATGAACAGTAATCAACGTGATTTATGGCACAGAAAACCGTACGTTTGGAAGTGAGCGATTCAAAACCCAGCGCGGCCTGTCACTCTGTCCTTCAAATTTTAATTTGAATTCGCTCCTCTGCCGCTTCTGTTTGTCCGCGTAAGTGGGCAAAACTCTGAACAGGGTCTTAGAGGGGTGGAAAAGATACTGTTGCTCGACCTACAAGCCTGAAAAAAAGCAGTGCACAATGGTGCTCATTAATTACATATTTGTTGTTTATCTGCCACTGTGTGACATAATCATTTTCAGCAAAAATCGTATGGAGTCCTGACAAAATATGATGAAGAGCTTGAAGGTGTGCAGAAGGAAAAATTTCGCCTCGATGAAGCTGGTGGATACGATCTCGAAAAAGAGATGAAAGGTTTTGCCGCAGATAACCCCTTGCACCATTTAAGGCAGCCCATCTAATGCTATTTACAGGGAAGCAAGAATGCGTCGAGAGTTGGAGATAGCAGGTAAAACCCTGGTTAGCATGGAAATGCAAAAATATCAAGTGGGAAGCGAATTCTGTATGGCGAAAGTAGGTTGGCTTCAACCTTTACTACGTCCCGCCCCGTATCTAGCCTACATTGATGGATTTATTTTTTGTTCTGTTTCAGTTTCTGGTAAATTGTTTCAAAAACTGCCGAGTTTCTTCATTATAAAGCATTGTACGTGGTTTTGTTCAGGAGGAAATGACCGCTTTTCGTAAAGTCAAAAAAGGCAAAAAGGAAAAATCTACGCGCAAGAGGAAGATTCTCAAAGCCGAAGATTTGGTTCCTGAGGAGCCTGCGAATGGAAAGGATTTGGGTTCTAGGTGCATTTTTATTCCTGACGTGCTTGTGTTTGCTAGCAGTGTGCTTTGGCGGACAATAGCAAACGGGTAGTTTTTCACACCACTGAGGTCTCATATAATGCAGTCGGTTTTTCAGAAAAAGTAGAAGAAGGGACGAAGGCAACGATGAAGAACAAGGACAAGATGAAGTGAAAAGCGAGAATGTGGAGGAAAACGTATGTTCGCTTGATTTGTCTTGTCTGAACTAAGTATAATGCATAGTCTGTACCATTTAGAAAAATGGTGTTGAAGAGCATGACATGGCTGAACCTTCGGGGCATTGGAAGCGTGCAACTAAAAATGGGGTGGATATTGATATGTTGAAGTCACTTGTTGATAAGGATGATACTGACGTTGAAGATAGCGATGGTAAGTGTTGGTCTGAGTATTTTTATCATTCTTTCTATTTTCTCCTTGGTATTGTCTTAGCGTTTTCCTAAAATTATCTACTCATTTCTTTGGGACTGTACACTTGCCCATGGTCTGTGAGAGCAGCACATTTCATTTCCTTAATGAAGAGGGATATCCGATAGATCAAGAATTTAGGCATGTGTAAGGCGCTCACTCGTGAAGGGAAGAACCATGTCCTCCGAATGCAAAAAATGTTCCCAGTACTAGCGTTAGGTCCACATTGCTAATGGTGAACTACGTCACCACAGAACATCAAAAGTCGTTTAAGAAGCAGTGTTAAGGCTAGGACGTCACTTGAAAGTGGCGCGCAGAACCCCCGCCCGAGTTCTGTGGTCAGTATGCGAGGGCTACCGAGGAGTGAACGGCCTCGGCCAAAGAAGCTAGTTCGAATGGGACTTTGAACGTAGGATCGCTAACTGGGAAGTCCCGAGAGGTTGCTGATCTGATGACGCGCAGGAAAATGTACCTCCTGTCTTCAGGAAGCACAGTGGAAGGGGGCCAAGGGCAAAAAATTCAGAAAGTGTCAGATTGCACTACAAAGACCCAAACAGAGTGGTGTGGCTTCAGTGAAAGGAGTTCCCAAGGATTGCGCCCCTGCCGTGAGCAAAAATCCTGATCGGCTCATGGGCATATGGAAGTGAATACGAAGGAAAGGCAGTGGACGATATTGTCCTCGCACGCACTGCAAAACGGCTGCCCAGAAGTTGGGAAAGTTCCTTAACGAATAATTGCTTCCTTGAACAGAATAAGCGACTGTGAGGATAGACACAAGTGAGGGGTACTGGGCGGTACCGTTCGTGTACGCACCGCTCGCAACAAGCGAGGATGATTTCCATTTAAGCGTTTATGACATCAGATTGATTTCGAGAAGCGATTATCTTACAATCACATGTGATTTGAATGACCACGTTTGCATTTTACAGAAGAGGCCATGAGGGATAGCAAGGGAGAGGGGCTTGTTCCCCTGTGGCAGTAGCCACGATCTAGCATTCTGCACCACTTTATTCGTGAAAGGGAGATTCAGAGGGTAACCTATAGCAGTGTAAGGAGGCGAACAAATTGACCATATGCGAAAGCATCCTACAAAACTGTGAAGGACATCAAGTGGTTCATCGGCGTAGGACTCTCCTGGCAGGCACTGCCTTAGAATTTTCAAGAGAACAAGGATACGAATTCAGTGGAGAAATTGGTGGAGCAAACTGCATCAAGAGGAGAAGAACGATCTCAAACGAAGGGTACTAAAGCTTGTCTCCCAGTTTTATACGGACCGGCCAACAAACCCGTAGTAACATGACTGATGTGATGCTGCGATTCGCCAAAGAGATACCAGGCGAAACACGAGGTGGAACCATGGGGTGATAAAACAGCGTGGTCCTAGCACTAGTAATTTCACGGTTGTGAAGCAAGAGAAGCATGCACATAAGACCAAAAGTAAAAGAACAGCCCACATGACCTTTTCATCTTCAAAAACTGCAAGAGGCCACGAGGGAGGCCGTGGCTAGGGAGGCGGATAGCATTTTCTTCGTTCCGGGGACGAAAGAATCTTCGGAATACAGCTGAATTTCTCATCCCCTTTATTTTTTCATTAATTTGCAAGATGATGCACTACTATTCCATAGTTTGCAGAAGAGATGGGTGGAGCGGTAGATCTGAGTACGGTAGTTGTCGATGATGATGCTGAAGAAGAGTTGGCGAGTGTAATGGACAAAGCGCGGCGTCTTAGACAAGTTGTTGTCAAAAAAGAGGACGACGACGTTGCACAAAAGGTACGAGCTTAATTGGTCTTAGCTTTTGTTTCCAGATTATAGAGATATCAGCTCATTGCTCGTAATCAGCGAGTTTTCTATTTCCAGGTTCTTGAGATGGTTTCTTCGCACAACATCAAGATGGAAGTAGATGATGATACTGATGTAACACAAAGTAGCGCATTGAGAGATGGAGCCGTAACTCTAGACTCGACTATGGAATATTGTAGAAATATTGGTAAACTCATGGCTTAATAAATA